TCAAAGCGTTGCGAAGCGGACTGACAGCTTATGATGCAAAAACGAACATTACCATTAAATAAGCATGATGTTTGAGCCTGAGAAGCACTAATCAATTCTGAGCCAGGTCGAGAAGTGCGATTTCCAATGCGCGTTGATTTTAGAGTCCCCCTGCTCTTGTGGTTCATTGAAGTGCTGCACACTTTTGGCAACATTTGGCTGTTCAGTTATCTATTCGAGCTGACCACTGTCTCCTCTCAGCGCTGGAAATGGTCTCATTCATTTATACTTCAGGTGACGGTCGTCGATTGGCCACGCAACGACAGTTCTTCTCAGAGTTTAATCTAAGTTTTGTTTTCGCTGTTCTTTATTAATTATGCAGTTTCTGTGTTTTTTCTTCGTCTACAGTGAAAAGGTTTGCAAGGCCACTGAGAAAACGGGCGAAGGCACAATGAGAACCAGACTTATCGGTTACGTCTTCGGCCGTTGCAATCCAGACCACTGAGTCAGTCCGTTTCGCGTCAGACTGAAACCACTGCAAAGGCCTCTTGAAGCAGCTGCGACCGTCTGCCATCCCATATGAATGCGTGAATACGGTGGGAGGGGGGGTCACGATCTTTGATGATCCTGTTTAAGCAGTAAGCGCTCACTTTCATTTCAGCGACCCACGACCAAAAACAGTTTCACCTCATCGGATTGGCAGCCTTACGCGAAACATCGCACGGATCGTCCGCGTAATTTCATTGCCACTTTAACATAAGCCTCTCGATTGTAAATTTGTAATGACATCGCCAATTAGTTGATTTGTGCAATTCAATTTAGTCTCAATTATTGATTGACGCATGTCTGAGTAACCGACGTTACTTACGACTTACTGACTTAGCGAATCGTACTTTCGCTTCTCTGCAGGATGTGCAGAAGAAATTTGCTGCGAAGTGGTAGTTTTCAACCTTATGATTTTTACGGTCAGGATATGTGTAGAACTTGTTTGCGATCACAGCCGTTTAATAGGCATAAGCATACTCTATCTCACGAGCAGATTGAAGCGAGATGTCAAGAAATGCACACAAAATTATTATATGACTAAAGTCGATTGGTGGATCTGAATGATGGAATAGGGCCGCCAAGAAAAAACCAACCGCTATGCAAAAGGTATAATGGATGGACATGATATTGGGGGAGAGCTCATCATTGAGGTACTTAAAGACTTGACGAAAGGAGTAGAATCCGATGATTTGACGGCAAAGGTTTGCAAATCTTTAGCAAGAACACCTAAAAGCCGTCGTTAGAGATGAATGGAACAAGCGACTAATGACGTCACACGCTCTAAATGGTGATCGTTTAAAACGGCTACCATTCAGAATTCTTAAATTGCCACTTTGTGGGTGGATCAGAGTTACACTTTTACACAGGTGACCTCCACAGATGTGGAAATTAAAGAAAAAAATTGGCGCTGTCAGACAAACTGGTTAAACATAAACCATTCACTCCAGCAAGCGAGCTCCTCACTTGGAAGCTGAAAGGCGGTAGGTTGACCTAAAGGTCGGCATATAGCGAGGAATTATTCATTCTACGATGTAGTAACCGATACAGTATGACAAAAGCATTGAAAGGCCATGAATTCAACGGACATTACAAACCAGTGACGTTCTGCATATTCTAAAGGGTTAAGGTGACTATCTCAGTGGATATACAACATGTATCACAGAGCATGATAAAAGGTCTCCCAAACTCTGGCACTGTCCGATCAGAACACCACTGAATGAATTGATACTCGTTTCTTAGTTGGTTCCACCGAAATGTATAACATCGATTTACTAACCCAAGAGAACTACCAGCTAGTAAGAAAAACTTACATCATGCGCGGATTCGAAGATCATTCTTCAATTGTGATGCCAAATTATAGTCTGCCACGTGACTTCTGCTGTCGCAGTAATAAAGGGAAATACAGCATCAGATAGATATAGTAAAAAAGTACACAGATTTAATGAGAGACATAAAACAAAGGTAAACACATTCATAACAATAATATTTTAACAAAATCGATATTCTACATCTTTCTTCATCCAGTTAAGAACATAAAATACTGTCTACCTCGTGGGCTGTACGGAAGACTTTATCATGATATTCACGGACGATACCTTCCAGATTTTTATTCACCCTAATCCTCTACTATGCAGATTTTCCCGTAACGTCATGTCCATCAATGATCAAGTTAAACCGTATGATCTGCCGTCGCTCTTTGCATAGCGGCAAAAAATGTCACACCTACCTCATCTTTCACGATATAAACTACTTTAAAGGAATGTATAAAATGCTGGATACGTACAGCAATAGGTCAACAGAAGCAGCAGGAAGAATATTTGTGGAGACAGCCGGTCTCATGAGTTTGAGCACTGCTCTCTTTTCTCAACACGACGATGTAGTAGTCTTACGGAGAACTTCAAAACTGAATGGACGTACCTCTCACAGGTTTAGAAAAATTTTCAATATCGCCTCAGTAACAACCACAAAACTGTCCTCTCATGAGATTGATAAGATTATGTATAATTTTCTCACCTTAACTGGCTTCCCGTGACCCAAGTAAATTCGATCCTTGCCTGTAACTAAAGGATGGTTATCGTAAATAGATATGCCTCTAAAGAATCCCCTTTACTCACGCCATCGCGATCTTGTTCCACAACCTTGTTAAGCTCTGAGCATGAGATGAGCTCTCGCAATTGAGGTTGATACACTCCACCACGCTTCCTCCGGCATGAGACCTCATACTTTGACACTTATCTGTTCTCCACCAGGAAAACCTTCAGATTGGCTTTCTGAAGAGTAAAATCATCTAATGATTTAAGTGGAAAATGCTTGACGATTTGCGTCTACCGCTTATCATTACCATATAGTTAAATTTATGAACCCAATCAAAGCTGCAGTCTATCAAGGAGCTCTTCTTTATCAATTCGTATGACGCATGTCTATATAGCTGCAAACAACTTATCGTTAAAGCTTCAGGTACATGAATGATATAAATCTGAGCCGCTCATTCCATAAATTGAGCTCATTGAGCAGCTCATCTATCTTGTACCATAAATTCTAAGCTCAAATTTATTTTAACAAAAAATTCAACTGACAGCACACGAATAACCATTAGTTACCCATGATAGTCACAAAGCTGGTGAAGGTCAACTCGGTTCTGTTTCGAGGCAAGGTCGAATACCGTGAGCCCGCCCGCAGCCTGCGCACAGTCGCATGACCCTATGATATGTGGGCTAGCTGAGAAATAAACAGGGAATCGGACGAATATGCAATATAATGTGACTGCGGTGCCATGAGGAAACGGCTGAGTATCGACCGTAACAAACATGTCACAAAGCACAACGATATCACTCTGGCGTGGCTGTTGCATGTCAGCGTTACGCAAACACTGTTCGTCTAAAATCCAATCGAGAGACGCTTAATGCCGCTGCTCTGCTGCTATTCCAGGTCATCGGTTGAACCGCAGATTCTGCATGGTTCAGTCATCGGAACATTAGCAAAAAGACTGTGAAGGTTCAACAATTGAAAATATGTTCATGTGCATATTCATACATAGCTAATGTGACTGTCATTCATTAGGTTAATCATTATAGTTTTATTAATCCGAAGACCGAGTGTTTTGTACATTCTTCAGCCCTTATACTGGAACTCATTGTAAACATGGCGTGATTATTCACAATGAAAAACAGTCAATTGATCCGATGATAGACCACTGCTTGCAGCGTTTGTCATTCGCCTTGCGCATGCATGATTGAACCACTTTATGCTGTGTTTCAGTTTGATTAAACGAGTTTTTCAGTATTACT